CCTTCACTGAGAGACACCGCCTCGCGCCCGCCAGGTGCTGGCTCATTCCCCTCCCCCAGCAGGCCCCTCCCCACCTGCCGGGTCCCTCCTCCACCCCCCCTTTCCGGGCGAGACCCCTTCCCCATGAGCCAGGTCCCGCTTCGCACCCCCCCTCCTCTTTAAGCTCCCCCACCTCCCAGGTTCCTCCCCACCTCCCTTCCCTGCGAGACCCCCTCCCCGCCTGCCGGGTCCCTCCACATCCCCCCTCCCCTGCTAGATCCCCCTTTCCCAGACTGCCTGGTCCCTCCTCACCCCACCTCCCCCTCCAGGTCCCTCCTCTCCCCCGCCAGATGCTCCCTCCTGCCCGGGTACTCCTCGCCCACCCGCACGGCGGGTCCCTCCTCACTCTCCTTCCCTGCAAGACCCCTCCCCTCCCGCTGAGTCCTGCCTTGCCTCCCCCTCCCGGGCCAGACCCGCCCCCACCTACCGGGTCCCTCCTCGTCCTCCCTCTCCCACCAGAGGCCCACTCCTTCCAGGTGCCTCCTCACCGCCCGTCTCCCCCCCCCCCCCCAGGCCTCCCTCCCGGGCACTTCTCGCCCGCCTACTGGGTCCCTCCTCATTCGCCCTCCCCCACGAGACTCCCTGCTCACTGTGCCCCTCCGAGGAGAGATGGGGTGAAGGGGAGGGAGCGGGGTCTGTGGCTGGAGAGGCGAGGCAGGGAGCTAGCCTCCCTTGGGAAGCTTCATCCTCCACCCACACTTTCCCTGTCTGTGCCACTTCCCTCTAAAATGCTGATAGAAATTCCCTCTAGTGCTTCCCTTGTCTCCCTCATTATTACCTATCAAGTATTTTCCCAGCGTGGCAGAATCTAGGGTGTCTGTCTGCAGGGAAAGGGCCTGGGGGAATTCTGATGTGAAATGAACTAAAGCCTGTTCTGAAACCTCCACAATTGCCCTTCTTGCCCTGCCAGGCTGCAGAATGACGTCCATGTTTTGCTCCAGTTCATCCCGTCCTCCCATGGGACAGGAAAGAGAAATGGCTGCAGAGGAGCCAGTTCAGGTAGGGATTATTGCGGGGTTGCTGGTGGGTTCCTACTGGAGGAGAGGGACAGCAAATACACAGGAGATGGGAAGGTTTGCACAGACTGGTCTGGAGGTTGGAGTGGGCAGGAAATGCACAGGGTGGAGAAAGGGAGGAGGACAGGGTGTGGCAAACCTGCTGGGAGTTGTTTAATAAGTGGCCTAGATTCTAGGAACAGACCCATGAGGTTCGGAGGTTGAAATGCCCTAATTTGAGGAAGAGGAAACAACCCACCTAGATTGGGCTAGGAAAATAGACCAGACTTCCAGTGCTGGAGCCTGACCCGACTAACCAGCAGCTGCTGTGAGATATGAAGGGGTCACCCACAAGTCAGGCGTAGGGGAGATGCCCCTCCCCTCATATCTACTTCCTCACAATGAGGAGGGTGTTGGGCTTCCTACCCATGTCATGGTGATGTCATGGTGGGTGTCTGCTGTAGACCACCAGACCAGGAGGATGAGATAGATGAGGCTTTCTTCAGACAACTAACAGAAGTTTCCAGATCACAGGCCCTGGTTCTCATGAGGGATTTCAATCACCCTGACATCTGCTGGGAGAGCAATACAGCAGTGCACAGACAATCCAGGAAGATTTTGGAGAGTGAAGAGGACAACTTCCTGGTGCAAGTGCTGTTGGGTCCAGAGTGATCTAGACAAATTGGAGGATTGGGCCAAAAGAAATCACATGAGGTTCAACAAGGACAAGTGCAGAGTCCAAGCTCTTAGGACAGAAGAATCCCATGCACTGCTACAGGCTGGGGACCAACTGGCTAAGCGGTAGTTTTGCAGAAAAGGACCTGGGGATTACAGTGGACAAGAAGCTGGATATGAGTCAACGGTGTGACCTTGTTGCCAAGAAGGCTAATAGCATATTGGTCTGCATTAGTAGGAGCGTTGCCAGCAGATCAAGGGAAGTGATTATTCCCCTCTATTCGGCACTGGTGAGGCCACATCTGGAGTATTGCGTCCACTTTTGGTCCCCCCACTACAGAAGGGATGTGGAGAAATTGGAGAGAGTCCAGCAGAGGGAAACAAAAATGATTAGGGGGCTGGGGCACATGACTTATGAGGAGAGGCTGAGGGAACTTGGCTTATTTAGTCTGCAGAAGAGAAGAATAAGTGGGGATTTGATAGCAGCCTTCAACTACCTTAAGGGGGGTTCCAAACAGGATGGAGCTCAGCTTTTCGTTTCCCTCCGCTGGACTCTCTCCAGGATGGAGCTCAGCTGTTTTCAGTGATGGCAGATGACAGAACAAGGAGCAATGGTCTCAAGTTGCAGTGGGGGAGGTCAAGGTTGGATATTAGGAAAAACTATTTCACCAGGAGGGTGGTAAAGCACTGGAATGGGTTACCTAGGGAGGTGGTGAAATTTCCATCCTTAGAGGTTTTTAAGGCCCAGCTTGACAAAGCCCTGGCTGGGATGATTTAGTTGGGATTGGCCCTGCTTTGAGCAGGGGGTTGGACTAGTTGACCTCCTGAGGTCTCTTCCAACCCCAATCTTCTATGATTCTACCAGGGAGCTCTCACTGGACACCTGTATCAGTCTCAGACTAGTAGAAATGTGATGGATCTGCTGGGACAGAAGGGGCTCTCTCTTTGTGCCCTCACCCTCATGTTTTCTGGATGCTCTAATATTTGATAAGTTCATGCAGGCTAGGTCCCTCAATGGCTATTGGCTAGGATGGGGAGGGATCGTGTCCCTCGCCTTTGTTTGACAGAAGCTGGGAATGGATGACAGGGGATGGATTACTTGATGAGTACGTGCTCTGTTCAGTCCCTCTGCGGCACCTGGTATTGGTATCGAAAGACAGGATACTGGGTTAGATGGACATTTGGTCTGACCCAGTATGGCCGCTCTTATGAGCGGTGTGCGGGTAGGACTTTGTTGACTGCAAGCCACCCAGAGCTTCCATTTGATTGACTCCTTTTCCCGTTGAATAGTGGGGCTGTGAGTGAGGCAGCAGGTACTGACTGTTGAACTCTTGCTCTTTCAGGGGCCGGTGACCTTCGAGGAGGTGGCTGTGTATTTCACTAGGGAAGAGGGAGCTCTGCTGGACCCCACTCAGAGAGCCCTCTACAGAGATGTCATGCAGGAGAACTATGAGAATGTGACCTCGCTGGGTAAGGAGTCCCATCCCCTTGGTTCTTAGAAGGGAAAATGGAGAGTTAAGTTTCATGGCATCCCCACAATGCAACCTCTACTCTGCCCTGTTTCAGCATCACCCCGACAAGCCAGTGACCCACATACTAGCACTCTGCCCTTCCCGCTACAGAACACTCTGGGAACAGGGCACAGGGCAGTTCAGCACAAAGTCTAACATCCCCCTGATTCAGTGCTACGCACCGACAAATGACTGTGATGAAGAAGTTGCCCATGAAAAATTTGCCCAGCAAATTTCAAGACAACCCGAATAAACATGTAGCATTTAGGGTAGTTAGACTAGTTGGTCTTTAAACAGAAAATAATGCTTCCATCGAGCTAGCTACTGCCTCTCACGGTGGTAGATGACCTATGCTCATGGGAGAACCTTTCTCTCTGTGATTAAGAAGCAGATCCAGGGTGACTTCCCCTCTGGCTGGAGTCTTTACTTCCTGGAACACGGAGTTACTGACTCTGTGTTTTAGGAACCCCTTGCTGAGCAGTGTCTGGCTGTGTGTGTTCCCAGCAGAGATGAGGATAGTTAAATCCCTCATATGCAGAGTGCCCTGCACCTTAGAAGCTTCCCTAAGCGTTTTACTGCTTTACAATGGGCTGGGTTAAAACCGATAGACTCTTCTTTGTGAGAAATGTGCCATGAACTCCCCTGATCTCCCTTATTTTCTGTCCCCTCAGCAGGGTTTCCTGTTTCCAAACCTGATGTGATCTCCCAACTGGAACAAGGGGAGGAGCCGTGGGTCCTGGATCTCCAGGGCTCTGAGGAAGGCGAGATCCTGAGAGCTGTCTACGCAGGTGAGGGATCATTAAACCAATTCAGAAACTCTCCGTGCCTGAAGGAAGGAGCTGGGACTCCCTGAAAAGGCCTTGGGAGCTCTCGGAGTTCAGGAGTATCCCCAGGAGGGTTTGTACCCTATGGGTAGCTATCCCTCCCGGCTTCCTACCCATCCTCACTGACACCTGGCAGCAGCTCCCTACCTGATGGGTTGTGGAGGCAGAATTGTTCCCCTCCTCTGTCCCCTAAGGGGAGGAGTTTTTTCTGTCTCTCCAGCTATAATTTTGGTTTTATTTTCCCTTTTCTACCTCTGTTTATGACGTTTCTCTCTCTGTCCTAGGAGGTGCTGGGATGGTGAGTGAGAACAAGGAGCTGAATCCTCAGCAGGAAGATGCTGAGCAAGTGGAAGCACATGGGGGATTATTGCAAGGATCCCAAGGGAATGTGTCCAGGCGTCATGTGAAGGGGAAAACCTGTGAGAGTCAGGACAGGCCAGAGAGGCAGCAGGGAATCCAGCCCAGGGAGAAAGTGGGCAAATCCATTAATTGTCAGGGGACTCACCAGAACTCCAAGGAAATCACAGCCCAGCAGAGAATACCCACAGAAGAGAGAAAAAATACATGCACTGAGTGTGGGAAACACTTCACTCTGATCTCCACCCTCATTAGACATCAGCGGATCCACACGGGAGAGCGACCCTACAAATGCTGTGAGTGTGGGAAACAGTTCAGTGAGAAATCAAACCTTATTACACATCAGACAAGCCACACAAGAGAGCGACCCTATGAGTGCTGTGAGTGCGGGAAAAGCTTCACTCGGAGCTCTACCCTTACTAGACATCAGAGGATCCACACAGGAGAGAGACCGTATGAATGCTGTGAGTGTGGGAAAAAGTTCACTCTGAGCTCATTCCTTATTAATCATCAGAGAATGCACACAGGAGAGCGACCCTATACATGTGGTGAGTGCGGGCAAACGTTCGCTCAGAGCTCAGCCCTATTTAAACATGAGAAGATCCACACAGGAGAGCGCCCCTACGAATGCTCTGAGTGCGGGAAACAATTCATTGAGAAATCAAAATTTATTAAACATCAGAATAGCCACATGGGGGAGAGACCCTATGAATGTTGTGAGTGCGGGAAACAGTTCAGTGAGAAATCAAGCCTTACTAAACATCAGACAAGCCACACAGATGAGAGACCCTATGAGTGCTGTGAGTGCGGGAAAAGCTTCACTCGGAGCTCATCCCTTATTAGACATCAGAGGATTCACACAGGAGAGAGACCGTATAAATGCTGTGAGTGTGGGAAAAGGTTCACTTTCAAATCAAACCTTAATATACATAAGAGGATCCACACAGGAGAGCGCCCCTATGAATGTTGTGAGTGCGGGAAACAGTTCACTTGGAGCACAGCCTTTCTTAAACATCAGAGAATCCACACAGGAGAGCAGCCCTATGAATGCCGTGAGTGTGGGCAAACGTTCCCTCAGAGCTCAGCCCTTCTTAAACATCAGAAAATCCACACAAGAGAGAGACTTTATGTGTGCTGTGAGTGTGGGAAAAGCTTTACTCGGCGCTCATCCTTTATTAGACATCAGAGGATTCACACAGGAGAGAGACCGTATAAATGTGAGTGTGGGAAAAGCTTCACTTTCAAATCAAACCTTAATAAACATCAGAGGATCCATACAGGAGAGCGCCCCTACAAATGCTGCGAGTGTGGGAAACAGTTCAGTGAGAAATCAAACCTTATCACACATCAGACAGGCCACACAGGAGAGAGACCCTATGAGTGCTGTGAGTGTGGGAAAAAGTTCACTCAGAGCTCAGGCCTCTTTCATCATCAGAGAATGCACACAGGAGAGCGCCCCTATACATGCTGTGAGTGCGGGAAAAAGTTCACTCAGAGATCAGGCCTTATTAATCATCAGAGAATCCACACCGGAGAGCGACCCTATGAGTGCTCTGAGTGTGGGAAAAAGTTCACTCAGAGCTCAGGCCTTATTAATCATCAGAGAATCCACACAGGAGATCGCCCCTACACATGCTCTGAGTGCGGGAAATCGTTCCCTCATAACTCAGGCCTTATTAAACATCAGAGGATCCACACAGGAGAGAGACCCTATGAGTGCAGTGAGTGCGGGAAAAGTTTCACTGAGAACTCATCCCTTACTAGACATCAGAGGATCCACACAGGAGAGAGACCATATGAATGCTGTGAGTGTGGGAAAAGGTTCTCTTTCAAATCAGACCTTAATAACCATCAGAGGATCCACACAGGAGAGCGCCCCTATGAGTGCTGTGAGTGCGGGAAACAGTTCACTTGGAGCACAGGGCTTACTATTCATCGGAGAATCCACACAGGAGAGCGACCCTATATATGCTGTGAGTGTGGGAAACAGTTCACTCAGAGCTCAAGTCTCATTAATCATCAGAGGATCCACACACGAGAGCTGCCTGTGAATGCTGTGAGTGTGGGAAAAGTTTCATCTGGAGCTCACACCTTAATACAGTAACTCCTCACTTAATGTTGTAGTTATGTTTCTGGAAAATGCTACTTTAAGTGAAACGATATTAAGTGAATCCAATTTCCCCCTAAGAATTATTGTAAATGAGGGGGGTTAGGTTCCAGGGAAATTTTTTTGCCACACAGAAGACTATATTTTTATACATACATATATATACATAATATAAGTTTTAAACAAACAATTTAATATTGTACATAGCAGTGATGATTGTGAAGCTTGGTTGAGGTGGTGAAGTCAGAGGGTGGGATATTTCCCAAGGAATGCCTTGCTAAATGATGAACTAGCACTCGGGTGAGCCCTCAAGGGTTATCACATTGTTATTAATGTAGCCTCACGCCCTATAAGGCAGCTTGAATGGAGGTAGGACACACAGCATGGCAGAGAGAAACAAAGACACACACTGTGTGTGTGTGTGTGTGTGTGTGAGAGAGAGAGAGAGAGAGAGAAGCACATTGCCCCTTTAAGTACACTGACCCAACTCTAAGTACACTGCCTTTTTAAGTAGATCAGCAAGTTGAGATAGCAGCTGCTGCCAGCTCCCTCCGTCCTGAGCCCTGTCATGTTCCCCTTCCCCCCGCTCTGTGGAGATGGGGTACAGGATCGGGGGGAGGGGGACACGTTGACATTAGCACCCCTCTCTCCCCCCACCTCTGCACAGCAAGCAGGAGTCTCTGGGAGCAGCTCCAAGGCAGAGGCCAGGAGCAGCACACGGCAGTGTGGGGAGGGACAGCTGAACTGCCCAGCAATTGATAGCCTGCTG